CAACTCAGACGATTTTTTGGATTTAATATGATTCATCTCAAAAACACAAGTTGATACATATGATATCACAAATTAATACATGGGATTATTTGAAAAACAATCGAACAAAAAGAGAAACAATGAGAAAAGCAAATATAAAAGTTATAGAAAATCTAAATTTCAGGAATTCGGATTAGAAAAAGGTTTATGTTTAGGTGCAAGTATACACCCCTTCAAGTCTTAAAACTCGAAACAAATTTTTAAACGATCTTCCACCAAAAGCCATCAATCAAATCCAAAAGAAGATACAATCAACTCATCGCCTAAAGGTCTCATGGTTAGGGTTGAACATCTCGCAGAGGCCTATATGACCTCAGATAATGTTGTGTCAAAAAAAAAGATTGAAGCCCTAGAAGACGAAGTTGATGTTGTTACTTGGATGAAAAGCTAAGTAAATACAAAGTACAAACCTCGATCTATTTGATGGTGGCGTGATAGAGAAAGGATTTATACCTAGAGCCGTGAGGTTTCTTCTTTGCCATGATGGTATAGGCTATAGAAGAGTCAAAAAAAATTCTTTTGAAGTTGAAAAAAAATAGAGTCAATTTTATTGAGTTTGGTGAATTCGGATTGATTACGGTTTGTTTCCCGTTTAAATAATTCAGTCGCATAAACCAATATTGAACCGGATTGTACATCATAACAAAATAATACAAACATTCAATAGAATTCCACTAACACTCAATAAAATAACACAACTACAAAACCGACAATGTTTAATAATCATAACACGTAGAAAGAAGTTTGTGTTAACAAAATGCATAACTTCAAAAGCAATCATCTCATAAACATTCAATAGAATTTCCACTAATACTCAAAGTGATAGTTAAGGAACTATGAACAGAACTTTACAAGATGTCATTCCAGAGGTGGCAAGAAAAAAAAGGAGATGTAATTCTGTAAGTGGTTTTTTTCCTAAACCTCAAGTCATGTCTTCCTCAAATGGTTAGCTTGGTCGGCACAGACAACAATAACACCCCCGACTAAAATTGTCACGACCCCAACAATCCAATAATTGCACGCGTTTGGCCCCGATTGGTTCTGTTTTTTCCGGAGAAAATCAACAGTCAAAAACAGCGCAATGATAACGGCCGTCAGTGCAATTAGAGATAGTACTCGCGCAAGTCGGTTCGGTATGATGCATCCAATGACCATCGGTACGAACCCGCCAAAGAAGAAAGTGCTTATGGCCCATAAAGCGTCTTGGAAACATCGGAGGAGTGGTTTCCCTTTGATGCTGCTTCCAGTGAAATTGGAGAGCCCCGAACCCAAAATCCCTGCTGAGAAAAGACATATTGCTATCTTGACTTGGGATGGTGTCATATGACCAAGAGCAGCGAGGTAAGTAGGAACGGCCACAACTCCATTTAGGAGGCTCGTTATCAGTATGTTATCGTCTCATCGGTTAAGTTGATTATCTGCCATTGCTATTCTGGAAAAGGATATATATTATTAGAGACTTACGGTCACAAGAAAGTATGACTAAACTAATAGCACAAATCTTGGTAGAAATTTTAACCAAAGACTGACTTTAAAATCTTTTACCAAATATTATGTGACTCTACGTGTCGACATTCATTGTCCTCCATAAATGAAACAAAAACATTCTGTAACAATAGAGGATCAGTGCGTAGTCTTATTACTAAACCACAAGCACAAAATCTTATAGAAAAATTATCCATAGACCGACTAAATTCTTTTTAGCAAATGCTATGTTACTCTTATGTTTTCAGTATTCACTATCATAAATGAAACAAAAACATTCAGTAATATTAGAGGATCAGTGCGTAGAAAGAAAATTTATCCAGAGACTGACTTCAAATCTTTTAGCAAATGTTATGTGGCTCTATGTTTTCAACATTCACCATCATCCACAAATGAAACAAAAATATTCAGTAACATTACAGGATCATTGAATAGTCTTATTACTAAACCACAAGCACAAATCTTGGTAGAAACATTTATCCAAAGACTAACTTTTAAATCATTTAGCAAATGCTACGTTTCCAACATTCACTATCATCCCTAAACGAAACAAAACATTAACATAAGAAGATCAGTGCATAGTATTATTACCTGTACAGTCTCTGAAGAAATTAAAGATCCCACAAGTATGATTTCGAAAGCAGAGAATTTCCTCTGTTTTCTCTAAGAGATACTCCAACCTTCCTTTACTGCAGAAAGAATACGTGAAACGACAAAAGAATCAAACTTTGAGCTTCAAGACGAATAAGAATAATGACGATGAGAAGAACAGTCAAACAATCGATAACACTTGGTCGACGAAAACAACTAATCCCTAAGAAAATCACAATCATGATGAATCAAGATACCTCAAAATCCAACTTGGGAGTAAAACCACAGAACGATCGCAAGTAACAGAATCGCAAGAACCCATTTCCTGGAATCAAAATCATCAAAAGAAGATCGGAAAACGGAACCAAATTAGAAGAAGAATCGGAAAGAATTTGA